GTAGATAATTTGAACCATGTTTTCGTGTCATTTTGTTTCTATAGTATGAGTATGACCGCGTAGGCATAGTAATGTACAGGATGCGTCGGTTGGGTAGAACCTGGGAGAGACTCCCGGGTCCAGGTTGTGAGGTGGTATCATGTGTATAGTCTACTGCTCCTTGGTGGCTGCCGTGTCGTCGGATTTTCGGACTGGTCCTGGAGGGGGAGGAGGTGAGAAGGCGCCCTTGACACCGGCAAAGAAAGTCCTTCGGAACTGCAGCACGTTAAGTCAGCGGTCTGGCCTCATGAAATAGCCCAATCTTCCACATGGGAGAGAGAGAGACAGAGAAAGATACTCACCTCATCAAACGGACTTCCCTTGTCATCCCACTCCATAAAGAGTGTCGCATATACCAAAACAACTAGAACGGCCAACTGTCAGTACCATCTTCCACGTACAAACATAAACATTCCCCCGTGAACCCAGTAGGACAAAGCAGGGAAAAGCAACACTTACACCCTATAACACCCCACTGCACCAACTTGGTCGCCTTCATCCACTTTGGGCGGGCGAACTTGAGCGCTGCGCGCCGCCGGTACTTGCGCTCGAGCCGGAACTGGTGTTTCGGGGAGAGTTTGGACATGTCGGGAGGCCATTGGCGCTTCGGTTTGTATTGACTGTACTGAGAGAGCGGATCGTTGGGGTCGTTTATTTCGTATTCTGTCTGCGATGGCGAGGAGTGCTCGGCGGGGCCATTGTTGGTCGATAGGCGGAAGGGAGAGGAGAAGGTGGGTAACGTTTGGGAAAATTCACGGCGCAGAGAGGATAGGAGAGGGGTTTGGTTCTATTAGATAGGAAGGAGGGGTGTGGTGAGCTTGAGCTTGAACTTAGGCCTGAGCTTGACGATAAGGTAAAATGCGTACATGAATTTGCGATGGGAGTACTCCGGTGCCGGGGGTTCTCCATGGCGCGATGGTCGAGGCTCGCGGCGCCGCTGTAAAGGCGGAGGGAAGCCTGCTGGCGAGGCGCATTGAATGCATTAGAGAAAATGGTGGTGGACTCGAGACGCTGTGATCGTTGGAGAAAAGCGGAGGATTTCCCTGTTGCGACAAATCGGGAAAAGTTGCGGATGCGCGGGATTCACATGACCTCCCGACAAGGGCATTGTTCTGGCCTACATTTTACGGCAGAAACTCGTTCACTATCAAGCTCTATCTAAATAGCTTATAGGAGATCATTTTAGAGTGCTCTTTTCAGAATTTATCTGGCTGGTGGAATGTAGCATGCTCTACCTCTCACTCCAGGGCTACCTTCAGACGCCTTCAGGTTAATATACAGCTCCACATGGAACATGGCACTGCCCACGTTGCCGTCTCCAACCGAATCCCGAGCATCATCGATCACAAGATAAACCCTCGTCCCTGAAATCGATTAATCATCTGTCTTTCTTCACATGAAATCTGCGCAACAGCCGCAGGTCCCGTGACTTTGACCCACGGAACAACGATGATGCGGCTGGACCTCGGCACTTTCACAGGACCGGGGAAGAGCGTACAAAAAGGCAACACGACCGACCGAGTGGATATCCCTCTACTCCACGTTTCGCTGCCCCGGGTTTGGCTTATAAAGAGGGTTCCTGTTGCTCCTTTTCTGCGATCTCGAACTGACTTGACTTCTATCTTCTACTGTTATACCCTCTCTGTTTAGTCGAGCTCAATATATTGACGTCATGTCTTCTGGTAAGTCGCTCGTCCTACGGAATGTGGAGTATGGATATGTATGGCCTTCGCAGTATCATCTAACTGGTCTCCGTCTTTTAGCACAGCAACGTTTGACCCAGGTGGCTTCCCACTTCGGCCCTGGTGGCAAGAAGGGCGTCGCCGGCATCACCGAGAAACACCCCGACGATATCGTTGTCACATGCGCTCTGCGTACCGCTCTGACCAAGGGTGGAAAGGGCGGTTTCAAGGACACGGCGGCCGCCGATCTGTTGACGGGCGTGTTCAAGGCCGTGATCGACAAGAGTGGCATCGACCCTAGTGCTGTCAACGACGTTGCCGTCGGCTCTGTCCTTCCCCCCGGTGGCGGTGCCACTGAATTCCGTGCGGCCGCCCTGGTGGCTGGCTTCCCCGAGTCGACGGCCGTGCGCAGCTTGAACCGTCAATGCTCCAGCGGTCTGCAGGCTATTGTGGACATTGCCAACGCGCTGAAGTCAGATATGATCGAAGTCGGTATCGGCGCGGGTGTGGAGAGCATGTCTTCTCAATACGGGTAAGCCATGATGCCGACGCTCAGCCTTCCCTGGTCTTGATTGGAATACTGACAATGTCTCCTCTATTCGCAGACCCGGCGCTGTTACCGAGTTCTCGGATCTTCTCGAGAACCACCCCGAGTCTGCCAACTGCAAGGTCCCCATGGGCGTTCTGTCGGAGCAGATGGCCAAGGACCGCAAGATCTCTCGTGCCGAGCAAGACGCTTTCGCCGCTTCTTCCTACCAGAAGGCCGTCAAGGCCCAGAAGGCCGGCCTGTTCAATGAAGAGATCGCTCCCCTCGAGGTCAAGTGGACCGACCCCAAGTCTGGCGAAGAGAAGACTATCACCGTCAAGGCCGACGATGGTATCCGGGACGGCATGACCGCCGAGTCTCTGGGTAAGATCCGTCCCGCTTTTGCCAAGGATGGTTCCATCCACGCCGGAAATGCGTCCCAGATCTCCGACGGTGCCGCCGCCGTCTTGCTGATGAAGCGGTCCACCGCCGAGCGCCTGGGCCAGAAGATCATCGGCAAGTACGTGGCGGCCAGCGTGGTCGGCGTGAAGCCCCTGCTCATGGGTATCGGACCCTGGAAGGCCATCCCCGTGGCGCTCGAGAAGGCCGGCATCACCAAGGAGGACGTTGATATCTACGAGATCAACGAGGCCTTCGCTTCCCAGTGTGTGTGGTGCGCCAACGAACTGGGCTTGCCCAAGGAGAAGATCAACCCCAAGGGAGGTGCCATCGCCTTTGGCCACCCGCTGGGCTGCACGGGCTCGCGCCAGATCAGCACGCTGCTGACGGAGCTGAAGCGCACCGACAAGAAGATTGGTGTCACCAGCATGTGTGTCGGTACCGGAATGGGTATGGCTGCTGTCTGGGTTCGCGAGTAAAACTGTATATGCTCAACCTTTTCTTTCTCCCCATGTCTTTTCTCTTCTCTTTTCTTTTTCCCTCTTCGGTTTCTAGTGCAGCGATTTATATACACATGACGGTTCTTCATGTACTTTAGTTTTAAATTGACGATATGAAATCAATCATGAGTGCGATACAATGTCTCATCGCTATGAATCCATCGGAATATCCCACACTGTATAACCTATTAATTTAAATTAAACCAAATTAAATCTTCGTCCGAAACTTCTGAAAAGCATCAAATACGCTGGACCCCTGCACCACCGCCTCCTTGACCCGATCATCCATGGCCACCAGCTTTGGCATCAACTCCAGCACCGGGTCCAGCAGGTCCCGCGGAATGGCAACCACGCCTTCTAGTGGATCGCAGAAGATGACATCGCCCTGGGAACGTCACGGTCAGTTCCATACATACCTACCACCATCATAACATAGGGGTGAGAAAGAGACGTACCGGAGACACCACCACACCACCCAGATTGACCGGCACATTTCTCGCCCCTGGCTTTGCCTGTGCCGCAGTACCGACGGTCGAGGTTCCGTGTGCCCAGACCTATCATTATTAGAGATAGCAGAGACAGTGAGAAGTTATGTAGTCCACAATAGCCAATGTAATACAGAAAGACAGAAAGGAAAAAAAATTAAAAATTAAAGAAAACATACCGAAATCCCACACCACCTCATCTCCTCCAGATCCCGGATCCGTCCGTTCACGACGACGCCCTGCACGCCTAACGCCTTCATCCGAACCGCCATGATCCCGCCCACCACGGCGCAGTGCTGGTCCGGTGGCTGCTCCACCACCGCGACGGTGTCCGCCTGCGCCCAGTCGACCCAGTGCGTGCCTGCCGGGAAGCCGTGCGCGTCGGACGCGTCGACGTCGGAGGATGCTTTGGGGATGAATTTGAAGGTGGATGCTGGGGCTATGATCTTGGGGGAGGTGCTGTTGCGGCCCAGGGTGGGGGAGAAGGGGGCTGGATGGTTTGGTTAATATTGACATACCTAGAAGAAGGAGGGGGTCATGGGTAGGTACTAAGTACTTACTGAAGTCTGCGAGGTGGCCTGCTCTAGGGGTGGTTCCTGGAGGTGGCTTTTGGAGTTTGAGGAGCGCATCGGAGACCTGAGGATGGTATGTTTAGTATATAGGTTCTTGGAGTCACTATGTAGAGCATACGGATGGAGGGGGAAAGGAAGAGGAACGGTAGTTGCATACATCGCAGGCGGAATACGCCCGTAGCGCATCGATCTTCTGCTGGATTGTAGTGGCCATGGTACATGTGGGAGAGATCGCGGGAATGAAGCGATTATGGGAAAGAAAGGATATGAAGTGGAATTAGACTACGATGCATTTGTTGTACTGCCTGAGGTTGAATAACCGAGGATCGGAGAAAAGCGTTGACATCATCGGCCGGTCGATTCAGGAACCCGCGGATTAAGTTTATTGAATTCTTTAATTCTTTTAATTTGGAGGAGCGGAGAATTAACTATCTTTATTATCATTACTATATTTGTTCCGATTTATTAGTTAGCAATGGACTGATGAGTCCTGATTATTAACTATGCGAGGCCTGGACATGCCTTCAGTGAGGGCTAATCTGAATGACATGCAATTCTGGTCCGTAGAAGTAAGAAGTAGTTAGTTAGTAGTCAGGAATAACTGATAAATAGTTAGTGAGTAACTAGTAGTACTCCGTAACTAAGCGCAGTTCGACTTCTGATTCAGAATAGACGCTCTAGACGATTCTGGTGGCTCTTCTTTAGTGTCCTTGGTCCCCACGGATCCCAGAGTATCCACCAGACCCTTTCTTTTCATTCCAATTAACTTCTGACATCGTACATACACACTACCGAAAATGTCTTCTCCCCAGTACACCCCCGACCAACTCAATCTATATCTCGAGCGCATTCAATATCCCGAACCCGCCAACGCCACCCGCCTCCAATATGCGCAGCAGGCCATCGCCACAGACGCCCTGGCGGCCCTGACCGAGCTGCAACGCCGTCACCTGGGCGCCATCCCATGGGGCAGTTCGGCGCTGCATTATTCCCAGCACAAGGCCATCTCCATCCACCCGACGGCCGTCTTTGATAAGCTGGTCCATCGCTGCCTGGACGGCTACTGTATGGAGAACACGAACCTGTTCTACGGCGTCTTGCGCTCCTTGGGCTTTACGGTGTATCCGACCGGCGGGAGGGTTTGTGAGGTTGCGGCCGGGGCGAATCGGAATCCGGGGAAGGAGAGGTTCTTTGCGCTGTGTGTGCCATGTGGAGTGCGGAGATTACCTTGTATGGCAGTGGGCTGATTATCACGGGCATTTAGGGGACATATGATTCTGATTGTGACGATTGATGGGAAGAAGTACATGGTAAGTGGTTTTCTCTTTCTCTTTCTCTTTCCCTCTCTCTTTCTTTTCTTTTTACTTCTATCATTCCTGGCCATGACCATCTAAACGAACTAAATTAACACTACGATCAAGGTGGACGTAGGGTTCGGCAACAACGGACCGACCAGTCCCTTGCCTCTCGAGGAGGACGTCGTGTCCACCTGCATCGCGCCCTCGGAGTCGCGACTAATCCGCGATAGTCTACCGGAGTTCGTAGACAAGACGCAGAAGGTCTGGATCTACCAGATCCGATACACGCCGGACGGCGAGTGGCTGCCGCACTACTCGTTCTCGGAGGTGGAGTTTCTGCCGCAGGACTTCGGCGTCATGAACTATGCCACCAGCACGGGGCGCAACAGTTGGTTTACGCAGAGTCTCGTCTGCACGCGCGTCATCCTGGACGAGGAGACGGGCACCCAGCCGCGGGGGCTGTATGTTCTGGCCGGGAAGGAGGTCAAGAAGAGAGTGCAGGGGCAGACAGAGGTGGTGGCTACGTTTGAGACCGAGCAGGATCGCGTCGCTGCGCTGGGGAAGTGGTTTGGTTTGCACTTCCGAGATGACGAGGTGGAGGGGATCCAGGGGTTGGTGTCCCAGATTAAATAGTAGACGGTTTTGGTGAGGGGTGAGTTAGATCTACCCAGGAGGTCCGGGTCTTGGATGGAAGAGTGTTGTACAGATAGAATTTCTTCTAGAGCTTGTGGATATGTATTTCAAGAAAATTCAAGGAAAATTGCGGCTGAACAGAATGACAACGTGGACAAGGACATAACGCCGAACATCGACCCATGTCGATCCGGCCTAGTAGATCCGTTTTTCAAGCTGGAACACGGTCGTTAGCATGCTGATTCTCTTCTTCCGCCACGTTGCCGCAGGTTATAACAGCCCATACCTTCCAGGGATTGCTGAGCTCGAATCCCTTGGGGGCCACCGCATTGCTTGATTGACCTCGCGGGGTTCCCGTCATTCTAAGATCTCTCTCCATCACTGTAGGTTCGGACACGAGCGGTTAGCTTCCACATGATTTCTGGTGTTTGGAAGAACGGGACAGGCGATTCTGGAGAGGGGAGGGTTCAATTGGTAACATGGCGCCGGGAAAGGTCACATACTTTGCTGTGTGGAGGTTAGCCAAACTGGTCCGATTTGCAGGGAACAGCCGATCAACTTACTCTATCCCACAGATCCCGGTTCCAGCGAGCGGTCTTGCCTTCGTTCGACCAGTACTTGACGGCGGTGAGACCGGCACCGGTGACGCCCATAAACTATCGTGCGCATCTCGATCGTTAGTGAATTGGTAACCTCCGGCGAATGATTGGACCGTTGAGGGTCCACGGGAGAGGAGGGATTGAGGATGGGAGTCAACGTACGCCGATGATGATCCCATAAGGGAGCAAAGCCTCGAATGGAACGCCCATTGTGAAAAGAAGTGAAGAGTGAGGGGGGAGGAAAGGCAAGCGCAACGAGCGTGGAGACCAGAGGAGAGAGAGAGAGAGAGATCAAATGAGAGACTCGCGGGAATCGAGGTCCGGATGGCACCCGAAGCGGTTTAGCCCGCGACCGGGGGTCCAGCCGGCTGAGTCAGCCGCCTCCGTCAACCTCGCAGAAGGGGCGACAGGTCGATTGCTCTAGAGTCTGGACGCTGGAGCTGGATAAGGCCTCGGACGTCGCTTCCGCCGCTGATCGACGCGTTCGCTTCATTTCGACTGTCTATTGCTAACCTCCTGGTCTATGGGGTATGCATCTCGTGTCTTCCTGCCACGCGTTGTTTGCCATTGTTCCTCTACCTTCCTCCTCTCCCCCCAAATCAATCACCCTTTCTCTTGGCCTTTCAGCTTCCTTCCTTTACTGACTCTTACTTGGCTTGCGCCTTCTTCAGGGGGAAACGTATCTTAAAAATTCTGGTTGATTTCGATCTAAATCTCTTGTGCGCCTGTCATTGTGCCGCATCTCTTGTGTCCAACGACCAGTCGCTCATGTCCCCGATGCCCGTTGCATGCGGCGCCAGATGATTGTCTATTTTAACGGGGAGCCCTGAATCGCCTGACCTCAAAACCGTCATCGGGCCTTTGGCCGTTGTCATTTTACTATAAAACTAAACCATCTACCTTATCGAGGCACGTCGAGAGCCGCACAACCTGGCGAGCACAGTGACCTACACCATGCCGGCAACCGTGCCGCCGGCCGACCATGATACCGAGATGAGACCGCCCGCAGACGTGGTGGATAGTGACCAAGACGCCGAGGGGGAGGAAGAGGAAGAGGGCGCCGACCTATACCACATGGACCAACAGCTCCAGGACGCTGTGCACCGGGCATATTCAGGGGAAGAGGCCGCGGATACCGAGAAATTTGGCCCCGGAGAGGTAGCAGATGCGGAAGGGGTACCCGATACCGAGCTACACCTGGAAGGGGAGATTGATGACACCGAGCCTGTGGGTGCTGTCAAGCTGCCGGAGGGTGTGCCTTCGCCCGGCCACGAGGACTTGGCGGCGGGTTCTGCCGACGCCGATCCGGCATTCGAAAACCAAAGCGACAGCGATTCCTCGAGCTCGTCGTCAAATAGTCACCAGGAGTCTGATGTGGACGATGATTGGGAAGAAGGGAGTAATGAGAATGAGGATGGGGAGGCGGATAACAACACGACGCGAGGGAACTGCGTGTAAGTACTCTTTGTTTGTTTTGTTGTTGGAGAACTGGGCAATCAGCTAGTCATCGGATGCTGGTCTATCGGAAAGCCCCCAAACGTGCCGTTCTGATAAGTTTGGTGCAGGTTTTGTCACCAGGACGAGGATAACGATCCGAGTGAGGAGTTTGAGGAATATTTATCATGTACAGTCTGTGGCGATCACTGTAAGTTGGTATATGCGGGTCCTTCTAAGACTTGACCTAGCAAGCTTCAGACTTGTGTCGACGGCGATCTTTACTAACTCGGTACCCTACAGCACATCGGCAATGTGCCCGCGAGCAAGGTGCATTAGATGATGCAGAAGGTGTGTCCTATTTTCAACATTAATCTCAAATCAGAGGTTCTCGTGCTAACTTACAATCTAGACTCGAACTTTTGGAGATGTCTTCCGTGCGTGCGCGAAAATCTGCAACCGGGAACTATTGAGCCTGGCTCCCATCAGCGAAAGCTGGGCCCCAAGAACATGAGCAAAGAGCTTTTACCGGCGCATGTCGGGGAGGAAGGCTCGGGATTCCACTCCATCTTCAATACTGTAAATGTCACCGACGATCTTCTGAATAGCTCACGCTCGCTGCGGAAGCGGAAAGCTTCGTCGGTCGATGCTCCTGAACATACCCCGGTGCTTCGGAAGAGACAGCGGCAGTCGCTGCGGCCCGAGCGCGCCGACTCGAGGGACCCGATGCCCGAGATCTCAGGCACGCAGTCTCCTGTTCGCACTCGCTCTCGACGCACGCGCGCGGGTGAGAAGGACGCCTGTCGTGTATTATTGAAGCAGTTTGGGCGACTAGTTATGGCTTTTCGCCTCAACGAGGCCAAACTTTCTAAAATCCTCAACTCTCGCAGCAGATCTCAGATTAAGACTCGGAAAACTCCCAAACCACCGCCTGTCGTGCATGAGGCCCAGGCTCATTTCGCACCAATCACATCAACCTCCTACGTATCGCCGTTCTATTCGTTCAACGACCGCGAGACCGACGAATCGAAGTCCAAACCTTACGGTGGGATTTTATCGGAAGCTGATGCTGACACAACCAAGACTCTGCCGATGCACGCGGACCGCGAAAGATTTGAAGCAGCGCGTCAAAAAGCCGAGGAGGAATGGCAACTACGAGCCATGGAGGCTGAAAGTAATGGCGAGCCCTTCCAACACGCATCGCAGAAGGTCTCGGGTCCTCCGTCCAAGATCAAATGCATCAACTTCGGTGGATACGAGATCGAAACTTGGTACGCCGCGCCGTATCCCGAGGAGTACAGCCGCAATCGAGTTCTGTTCATCTGCGAGTTCTGCTTGAAATACATGAACTCCGACTATGTCGCCTGGCGCCACAAACTCAAATGCCCAGCGAAGCATCCTCCTGGTGATGAAATTTACCGCCATGGTTCCATCTCCATCTTTGAAGTGGACGGGCGCAAGAACCCCGTGTATTGCCAGAACCTCTGCCTGCTTGCCAAGCTGTTCCTCGGGTCCAAAACGCTCTACTATGACGTTGAACCCTTCCTCTTCTATGTCATGACTGAGTATGATGACCTGGGTTGTCATTTTGTGGGTTATTTTAGCAAAGAGAAACGGCCGAGCTCGGCAAACAACGTTTCCTGTATTCTCACCTTACCTATTCACCAGCGCAAAGGCTACGGAAATCTTCTCATCGACTTCTCCTACCTCCTCACGCGCATCGAGGGCAAGACAGGCTCACCGGAGAAACCGCTCTCCGATATGGGCCTTGTCTCCTATCGAAACTACTGGCGTCTCATTTTGTCCTACAAACTGCGTGACCAGACGAAACCACTCAGTATAGTGGATCTCTCCGAGCGCACGGGCATGACGGCGGATGACATTGTGTCCGGCCTAGAAGCTCTGCGCGCCCTCGTCCGAGACCCGGTCACGAAGACTTATGCTCTACGTCTCGACTTCAACTACTTCGAAGAGTGTATTCGCAACTGGGAAAGCAAAGGCTATGTGCAGCTGAACCCCGACGCCTTGGTTTGGACTCCGTATGTCATGGGCCGAAGCAATCAATCGCAATTTGACCGGGCTCCCCTCCATGCGGTCGCCCCACGAGAGGGGCTGGAGGAGGAAGAAGAAGAGGAGGAGGATGACGAAGTCGAGGATGCGAAAGAATCGGGAAATGACGAAGAGCAGCAATTCAAGCCGAATGGCGAGGTATCGACTCTCGCAGTCAACGGTGCCAAGCAGACTGAGCCGGCGGAGATCTTCACCGAGCCAGCCGGACCCCCGCCAACGAACGTGCTTTCCAATGTTAACGGCTTTCGTCATGAAAGCACCACTTCTGCCGACCTCAACCCACCTGCAGAAACAACTCCCGCCAGCGATATTCCCGCCTGGCGATTTGAAATCTATCCGCCTGTCCAAGCGCCTGTGTTGAAACGACGTCCAGGCCGACCCTTCGGCAGCAAGACCACCTACGGCAAAGTAACGGTCACACCAACAACGGCCCGGACTAGTGGCCGCAGCACGCCTAAGAGATCTTCCGTCTTAAGCTCGGCGACCCCGACCGCTAATCCGTCGAGCGTCAGGCGGGGTCGCAGCGCAATACTCGCGGATTTCCCTGCCGCGGAGCAGGTGGACGTCATCACCAATGGGGTTGACACCGACCACTTGGAAGAGATGACTGCCGGAGAGGAACCAGATCCCGAATCCAAATTGGAGACGGCGACACCTGCATTAGAGGCAGGAACAAGTCATATGAAAGGGGGAGAAGAGCTAGTCAACACCAATGGAACCGAGACACCAGGCGATGGCCCAGTGGAGAGCACAGGGACTCCCGCGCCCGGTCCCACGACCCCATCCAAAGGCAAGGGTGCCAATAGTCATGCAAAGCTCACCAGATCTGTGAACCGAAAGTCCATTGTGGAGCAGCTCGAAGTTATCCTCCCTGCCGACAGCCCACCAAATGCCCAC